GGGCGAGGGTCCCACATGGCGCACAGACCTCTCCTGCTGCCTGCTGCTCCCCTCAGCAGTGTATATCGTCAGTCTGCCTGTTCTGTTCCCCACTCTGGCTCTGGTGAATTCTCTCGCCCCCCCGCGCTTCTGACTGTAGCCAGTGCTTGTATAAATAAATAAATAAATAAATCTTTAAAAAAAAAATACTAGGGTACAGGCCAGAGGTCCAGTGGGTGAGAGGATTCACCAGAGACAGAGTGGGTAACAAGAATACGCAGATTAACTGAAATACACTGCTGAAGGGAACAGCGGGTGAGACAGGAGAGGTCTGCTTCGCCATGTAGGCAGCTCCCTGGACTGTAGGGTATCAAATTCCTGCTGCAATAGCTGCGGATAGCTTCATAGTGCTGCGACTTAACCCCTTTGCACCACCAGGGAGGCTTTTTTGTGGGTTTTAAAAATTTATTATGTTTTAAGTTAATGGGAGATGTTAATGATTATGGTCACTCGTGGTTTTTCATGAAAGGAAATCATATAAACAAAAGTAAAAAAAAAGGAATTAATCAATAAATGTTTTATTTTACAACTCTAAAAATTACTTAAAGAAGTGAAAAAATCTACTGTCTCTAATTGCATTGTTAGAAATTAATAAGTTTATTAAGTTTCATTTATCTTCTTATTTTTTACTTTAGTAATATACCATGGACCTCTTTTCTATTTCTTCTTTCCTCGCTCAACTTTTCAAAGATACATTTTTACACATCATTTGTTACATGTGTAACATTTTATTGTATACCATAACAGGTTAAGGTATAATTTACGTACTGTAAAATCTCTTCATTTTAAATGTATATGTCAGTGATTTTATTAAATTTATACAAGTCTGCAGTCATCACCATAATACAATTTTAGAGCATTTAAAAAACTGCCTTTTTTAGTCAGTTCCCAGCCCAAGTCTTGGTTAACTATTTAACTGCTTTCTGTGTTATAGATAATCTCTAACTGGAATCTTATAACTTGCTTTCTTTTGTGTCTGGCTTCTTCCACTTAATATCTTTTAGGTTCATCCACGTTTTACATATCAGTAGTTTGTGCCTCTTCTTGCCACATACTATTCCATTGTGTGGATATACCACACTTTGTGTAACCATTTTGTTAAACCCAGATTGTCATTTGATTTGTTTTCATTTTGGAGGTATTATGAGCAATGCTGCTATGAATGTTCACATACAAGCCTTTGTGTGAACTTATGTTTTCATGTTGTAAGGCAGACAGACACCTAGAGTGATATTGCTGGGGGTGTGGTTAGTTATTAAAAAAAAAAATCCCAGATTTTTTTCTGTCCCCCAAAAAGGCTGTACTTTATATTTACATCAATAACATATGAGAGTTCAACTCTTTAGCCACAATTTTCTAACAGTATTCTTGTCCTTTTTTGATTATAGTTGTTCTCATTATATGTAGAGTAGTATTTAATTGAGATACTAATTTATATTTCCTAAATGGATAATTGGTTATTTTTATGTCATCTTTTGTCATCTTTTATTCAGATCTTTTAACCATTTTATAATTGAGTTGTTCTCTTATTGAGTTATAAGAGCTTTGTGTATTTGATATGCAAGTGTTTTGTCAAATGTATAATTGCAAATATTTTCTTCTAATCTGTAGCTTATCTTTTTATTTTTTATGGTTTCTTTTGAAAAACAAAATTTTAAAATTTTGATGAGCTAAATTTATCAAAATTTTATCAATTCTGCTTTTTAATAAATCTTGGTTGAATCTATAGCCACAAAGATTTTTTCCTGTATTTCTTCTTCAAGATTTGTAGTTTTCTTTTGCTTTAGGTATGTGATATATTTTGAGTTAATTTTTGTGTATGGTGTGAAGTAAAGTGTAAGTTTGTTTGTTTTTTTTTCCCATATAGGTATTAAGTTATTCCAGCACAATTGACAGACTGTCATTTCCTGAATTGTTTTGGCATCTTTTTTTTTTTAAGATTTATTTTATTTATATAAGAACCAGGATCAGACCAGATGTGCGGGAGTGTGAGAGGACTCACCAGAGACAGGGCAGGGAACAGAACAGGGAGAATGACTGAAATACACTGCCGAGGGGAACAGCAGGCTAGACAGGGGAGGTCTGCCGCACCATGTGGGTTTCTCCACCACCAGCTGGGATCGAACCCGCACTGCAGAGGCTATGGAGAGCTTCACAGCGCTGAGCTAAACTGCCTGCACCACCAGGGAGGCCCCCGTTTTGGCATCTTTATAAAGAACCAGTTGCCCTTAGGTCTTTGGGTTTACTTATTATCTTTCTAGCCTATTCCATTCATCTGTACTTTTATCCCTATGCCAGTGTGATATTGACTTAGTAATGGCCACTGGCTCCTAAGTTTTTGAATCACGTAGCATGAGTTCTTCACCTTTTTTTTTTTTTTTCTTTGCGAAAGTATTTAGAATCGTGTATATCCTTTTCATTCTCAATATATGTTAGGAGCAGCTTGTCAATTTCTAAAAAAATACTTGGGATTTTAATAGCATTTGTAAAGAATATGAGATTAATTGAGGAGCTTGCTATCTTAATCATGTCCAACCTTATGGCACAATTCTCCAATTTATAGGTTTCTTCTTGTAGCAATACTTTATAGTTTCAGGTATAGGTCATGACCTTCTTTTGACAAATTCATTCCTGAGTGTATTTGTTTTGGAATGGAATTGTTTTCTTAATTTCAATTTAGTTAATACACTACTCTTTTGGTAGGAATTTTTGCATATGTGAGCATATCTGGCTAACAAAGAAGACACTAACCTCTTTTTAAATCTTAATTCTTTTATATTTTTCTTGTTTTACTGCATTGACTGGAACCTATAGTACAAGGGTGAAGAGAAGTAGTGAAAGAGAACATCTTTGTTCATGGCAGGGAGAAGTTGTTGGTTTTACCATGAAAAAACTCTTTGTAGATGCTCTTTATCATTTTGTGTAAAGTCCCTTCTTTCCTGGTGTGTGTGTGGTGGTGTCTTTTATTGCATCTGTTGAGATCATTTGGTATTTGTGCTTTATTATGTTAATATGTGTTATACATTAGTTGATTTATGGATATTTAATTACCTTTGCATTCTTGGGATAATCACATGTGATCACGGTATATAATGCATGTCTTAAATGTGTCAAGATTTTGTTAGTATTTTGGGAAGAATTTTGACTCCTCTGTTCATTGTAGATATTGATCTATAGTGTCCTTCCATCCTTCCTTTCCTTCTTTCTTTTTTGATATCGTTATTTGGCTTTTGGTATCAGCATAGTACTGGCCGGGTAAATTTTGTTGAAAAACGTTCCCTCCTTCATTATATCCTTACAGAGTTTGTGTAGGAATGATACAGTTTGCTCTTTAAAGGCATAATACTTGGGCCTCCCTTGCAGCGCAAAGGGTTAAGCACAGCACTGTGAAGCTATCTGCAGCCTCTGCAGCATGAGTTCAATCCCCATCCAGGGACATGGAGCAGCAGACCTCTCCTGTCTCGCCCTTTGCTCCCTTCAGTAGTGTATTTCAGTCAGTCTGCCTGTTCTGCTCCCCACTCTGTCTCTGGTGAATCCTCTCACCCCCCACACCTCTGGCCTGTACTTCAGTTCTTGTATGCCTAAATAAATAAATCTTTAAAAATAAATAAATAAATAAATGCTTAATGCTTTTATTTTGCTAAGAGAGTTTACTGACTTCATCATACCACCAAATCCAGAAATTGCTTTTTTCTCTTTCTTTTTAGTGGCTGTCAAATACTCATTTTATATACATATCAGATGTAAATTTTTAAATAATAATAAAAAACTTTACAATTTTTTTTTTTAGAATTTTTTTTTTTTATAGAGGCATGTTATTATTATTTATTTGTTTGTTTGTTTGTTAGTTTATACATGCACTGGGTACAGCCAGAAGCGCGGGAAGGTGAGAGAATTCACCAGAGCCAGAGCGGGGAGCAGAGCAGGCAGAAGGACCGAAGTACACTGCTGAGGGGAGCAGCGGGCGCCAGGGGAGGTCTGCACGCCATGCGGGACCCTCCTCCGGTGGCCGGGGAGCAGCCGGGGATCGAACCGACACCGCAGAGGCCGCGGGCAGCTTTGCAACCCAGCGCTCAACCGCTGCGCCACCGGGGAGGCCCAAAAACTTTACAATTTTTAAGTGTTGTTAAGCAGTATTACAGTTCACCTCATCTTCATGTAAACTTACATAGCCTTTGATTTGCTACAAGGGATTCCTAAAAGTGGGGTTGGTGGGTCAAAGGTTTTACAAGCTTTTTAATTTTTTTTTAAGATTTATTTATTTATTTATACAAGCACTGGGTACAGTCAGAAGCACAGAAGGGTGAGAGAATTCACCAGAGCCAGAGTGGGGAACAGATCAGGCAGACTGACGAAGTACACTGCTGAAGGGAGCAGCGGGCAGCAGGAGAGGTCTGCGTGCCATATGGGACCCTCGCCCTGCGGCTGGGGATCGAACCGGTGCTGCAGAGGCTGAGGGTAGCTTCGCAACCCAGCACTCAACCGCTATGCCACGGGGAGGCCCTACATGCTTTTAATTTTAATAAATACTATAAAATTATTCTCTAAAATTTGTAATTAATTATTATACTCTTAGAATAGCGTTCAAGAAGGTCCACTTTTCCATATCTCACCACTACTTTATACTATTAATCTTTACATTTTTGCCAATACAAGGAAGAACGTTGGTGATTTCAATTTATTTAATGTAGTAGAGTTGAGGAACTTTTCATATGCTCATTGACTATTTTTATTTTATGATGTGACTTGTCATGTCCTTTGCTTAATTTTCAATTTGATAGGTTGTCTTTTACTAATTTATAGGATCTTTTGATATTTTAGTGACATTGAACTTTTATCTGTTTTTTTATTGCAAGGATTATTTTTTTTTTCTGTCATTCATTTCTTTCTAGTTATAACTTGTTTTCAAGCTTTTAAAATCCTGGCATTATAATTTATGTTTTTGTCTGTTTTTGAAACAGAAAATTGTACAAGGGATCGATTTAAATCAAGTTCGAGGTCTTGGGTTTGATGCCACATGTTCTCTGGTGGTTTTGGATAAACAGTTTCGTCCTTTACCAGTAAACCATGAAGGTAGGACCATTGTTTTTTCTTTCCATTGTGGTGGGAGACTGGTTGGAGCAGACTTGACTTGTCAATACAAAGGGCCCCGGTGGAATGTGAGGTTGGATGTCTCTTACCACTTACACTTGTGTTTAGAGATCGGGTGTGGAAGCCAACAATCATGTCCCAGAGGCTAAAAGCTTGGAGAATAATTGGTATGAGTAGGGTGACATCAGGGTCTGAGTTAGAGAGAGATTTGGCTTCATCAAACACGAGACTCATAGTAGAGGGCTTAATGAAAGAATGACATTGGGTGACTAGCTTGATATGGGTAGCCCTGAACGGACTAGTGGTCTGGGTGTTTTCTAAGAAGGGAGTTTCAGTGTCTGCAGTTGATTTCCATATGCAGCTCCGATATCACATTCATGTAACTGAGTGATCTTAGTCTCCTGAAAGGAAATAAAACAAGGCAGACAAGACTATGTATCACACAGAAACTGGAAACAGATGATTTCTATTTTCAGTAGCCAGAACAAAGGACATTCCCGTGCCTACTGTGTCTAGTAGATACAGTAATAACCTGTTTCAAATGTAAAGTGCCACCCAGGTCCACCTTCAGAAATTTTTCACAATGTGCAAGGATATGATCCTTTTGAGGAATTTTAGCTGGTAGTGTTAGCCTTGCAGTTGCAAACCCAATAGTCTGTACTTACTCATATAGGTACTGTAAATAAGTAATGTGGGTCAGGTTTGAAGAAATCAAAGCATATATGTAGAGATAAACTTCAACTAATATTTAACCTTTTAATGAATGGAAGACATTTGGGAGTGTGGAAACTGTAGTACACTGGAAATCAGTGCACCATCTAAGGAATGCAGCTCTAGGCATCATCAGTTATTTGTTGCCAAGCTAGCCACTACATACATGTTTGGGCTAAATTGTGTGGGAGAACCTTTAGTGGTAGATATTGCTGTTGTAGTGCCTTTCTTAACTGGTGTGTGAATGGGACACCCTGGAATTGAAGTCAAGCGGATTGTAGATCTCAGTTCTGTTACTACCGAACTGTGACACACAGAGTGAGTACCTTAACCTCTGCATATTTTACTTTTATCTTCTGAAACAAGTGAAACTAGAAGCAGTAGCTTTGCTGTGAGAATTGAGTGAGAGCCTAGCACCAGTGAATACTCAGAAAAGTTTCTTCCATCTGATTGTAAATTCTTCAAGTAGACAGAATGTGTCCCACTCCCTCCTCTAGGCTTAATGCATGGAAAAGTGATATTTATGAATTACGTGTGCTGAGAAGATAGGCAGAAGGATGAATGTTTAGACCATAGTGGTAATTATGACCATCTTCTAACACACACACACACACACACACACACACACACGCACTCTTTCTCTCTCTCTCTCTCTCTCTCTCCCTCCCCCCCTCTCTCCCCACTGCTTGCTACATTTTTTAGCATCTACTATGTGCTAAGGCCTGTTTATTAAGTGTGGAGACTTCAAAACTGCATATGAATGGTCCTTATTCTTAGTGACCATTCCGACTCATTTGGCATTGTTCTGGCCCAGGAGGGCAGGGCTGCACAGTCTGGACCAGGGCAGAGACCAGGGGAGGGGGGGCTGAACCAGTGGCCTCAGCTCAGCACAGCAACCAGCACTCTCTCATGGATTGGGCTAGCCTTGTTGGCCACACTGGGAGGCTGTCAGCTTTCCCTTTATTGGCTTTCAGTAGAGGTCGGGTAGTCATCTGTCAGGGATGCTATAGGAGGAGTTCTCAATTTGGGTGGGACTTTAGCTGTTAAGAGCCATAAATTCCAACAACACTGTATCTCCTAATCTGTTAAAATACATTACTGTACAATCTGTATATTAGCATTAACTATGGGTAAGACTTCTTCATTAGTCTTACCCCAAAGATTTGTATTAAGTTAGTTTGGGAAGAGGCACCAGCTTTTAAAAAAAGTTTCCTCAGAAATTTTAGTGTGTGGAGAATTGCTGGATACAGATAAATGGACAGTTGAATTCTCAGGAATAAGAACACTTGCAGAAGAGAGTTGCTTGCTAAATCTGCTAAGATATCCACCTTCTTTGGATGCCATCATTTTTCTCATTGTAGATAGAATTGCCTCCTGTTAACAGGTCTTCTATTCAGAGGGAAGCTAGGTTATGACCCTAATTAAAAGTGTTGAAATATATTTACTTCACCTAGAAGGTTAAAATGTGCCTGTTCATCAGATGCACCTAACCACAGGTGCCCCTTACCAGTTTCCTACCTTTCAACAGATTATATTAAGCTTGGGTTTGATCTTAAATGAATTAGCCTATGCTAGAAACTGAAAATAGAATTTTAAAGGTGGTTTAAAGGTTCTTTACAGACCTCTTTGATCTACATGGCAGAAACCAGTCTTGATTGGTGGGTGAAAGTGATAGTAAGGAGCAGGATGCAGAGTCATGGACTTAGCCATTGCCATTGAAACCATAGCTACGCACCTGGAAAACTGGTACCGTCTTTAGATATTAACCAAAAAAAAAAAAAAAAAAAAGAAAAGTAAACAAAAAGCTCAAGTAAGTGAAGTCCACATTAGGGGCAATAGTTGAAACATTACTCATTGCCTATGTTAGCAGTCCCAGTGTTGGCCTTTTCTTATTTGTTCTTCTTCCTTTGAAGATCAGAGCAGCTGAGACTGGACAGTGCTGCCCTTGCTGCCTGCCTCCTGCCTCTGCAGTCCACCAGACTTGTAACTGCAGGGGCATTGCAGCCATGGGAGCTCTCCGAGGGAGAGGAACCAGGCTGATGATAATTCATGGCTCAGGGAGTAGAAACCTCATATTTGGATGTTTTTGTTAGTTCATGTAAAGTATGTCTGGAACACCTCCTGTGAGGTGTTCAAAATATTAATTAAATGAATACAAAGATGAATAGTCTGCCCTTAGGTAAATTGATTTTGTAACTCAAATTCTGCTTGACCAAATTGCCTCTGATTCTCTTAAAATATGACATCCTCGTGGCTCTGCTCTGTTTAGCATGCTGTCTGTTGTGTGAGACCTCCTTCCCTGGTCTCCTTTCACCTGACTCACCAATGGCCAATCATTGTCAGAACTAATTTAAAACTTCCCTGCCTCTTGGAAACTGTCTGGCCAGCCCCAGGCTCAGCTAACTCGCCACTTCTCTGTGTTCTTCCTCCTTTCTGCCCAGTACTTCTGTCTGGCAGCCAACGCACCATATAAACTGTTTTTTGGTTTTTTTTTTCCTGTTCAACCACATGCCCTGGAAGGGCAGGGACTGTGGCACATTCTTCTTTTATCCAAGCACTGTGCCTGGAATGTGGTAGGTGCTCAATAAAAGACTAAATAAACTTTCAGTAGAGTTATTTATTTGTGATTTTCTGTAAGGACTGAAAAAAGATTAGATGTTGATTTTTGTCTAAAAGGGAAATTATTAACATTCATAATAAAAATAATCATCATTTTTGCACAATCCTTTCTGTGTCCTTCTGATAGCATTTTGAATCTCTTCATAAAGAGACAGTAATAACTATCTTTGCGGTTGAAAGTTTACTAACAGGTCTTGAAGCCTCTGCACATACATCCTATATAGAATTTAAGAAGCGATACTGATATTGTCCTTCTCAACACCTATATACCCATGCACATGTGCATGTGTTTGTGCGTGCATGCAACACACCCACATTCTGGTTTGGTGATGGTTCTGGAATGAGAACTGGACAGCAGTATGTTTAAAACTATTCAGATGATTCTAATGCACAACTGGGGGCTGAGAACCAGAGCTTTAAGCTCCACTGTTATACAGTGGAATCACTCAGCTGTTAAAAAAACAAACTCAGATGGGTCTGTGGAAGGTCTTAATATATTTTCTCTCATTTTCAAAGAATTACTGTTGTTTGAGAAACTTTCATGGGACCTGAAGTCTCTCCAAATTCACAATGGCCTAATATAGGTATTTTCTTAGATTGTCTTTTTTTTTTTTTCCTTTAAATTAAAAAAAAAAATCCTCTTAAAAAACCTGGAAAAGAAAACTCCTATGTACCCACTACAAAGGAAAGACAGAGGAAAGTTTTCCATATTTGACTCAAGCCTTTATTTTGTTACAGAGAAAACAGTATTTGACATTCAGTCCATGCTGTCCCTGGCTTTCCCTCTGCCTGGCAGGTGACCTTTGCTCTCTCACTTTGTGTACCTGCAAAGACAACAATATCTATGGTGTTTACAAATATCCCAGCTGCTTTCACCATTCGTGTGGATGTGTGTCACTCTAGTTAGTTCATTTTCCTGATGTATTTATTCCCTGCATAGATCTGTTTTCAAAGCACACTTGGTGCTTTTCTCAGCTGTGAGATAGGCTTGTCTTCAGCCTCAGAGTAGTTTGCCATTGGCAATGACCTACATCATTAAAGGAGATAATGTGTATAAAATGTTGGGCACAGGACTTGGGGCATAGACATATACATACACATATACATAAACACACAAGGGTTATAAACATCTACAAAATTACAGAGTTTCTGCTATTATTTTGCCATAAAATAATGTATTTAAGTGGATTCATTGCTGCTTTGTGTTTTGCCAGCTAACGAAGCACAGGACTCTATAAAGAATTCTCACTTGCCCACTGGTACTTGATGAATTAACAGAGGCTGTTATGTGGGCTGTAGGATGATAGAAGTTGGATGTGAGAGAGCAGTGCCAACACTTCTTTCCAGCTGGTTTCAAATCCCATTACTATGTTTTATGCCTCCTGGGGCTTTACTGTGATAGGTATTTGTTGTATCTTTTCTGTACATTATCTCTCATTTAGTAAATGAAAGTTCTCAGTAATTCTTATACAATATTAACTATTGCTGTCCTCACTTCATAGAGGAGGATTCTGAGACTTAGACAGATTTATTAATTTTTTCAGTATATCTCTGCCTATAACTGTCAGTATCCCCCTTAATCTGCTGGATTCCAAAACTTGTGTGCTTCTGTCTCTACCAAACCAGCCAACTGAATGAGGGAGAAAACTAAACTGATTTTAATTAAAGCAACTAGAAGTGGGACTATAAGCAAATGAAACCCAATGTGTAGATAGATTTGATGTTTCATATGTATTATACTGACAAAATATGTGCTCATATTTAGAGAAGACAGATCTTAAAAAGTCAAAGTATTATTATAGGCTTATTTTCTAGGCTCTTTTCCTGAATACATTGCCAGAATATTTTTCTAGACCATAAGGGGTAGGTAAAGAGAGAAGAAGTTGAGAGAGAATGAGTACTAACTAATTGGTAGGAAGTGTCAGCTGGGGTTAGTGTACACATTTAACCCTGGGGCTGTAGTCAAGAAACCCATCTCTTGAAGGAAAGTCCAGGGTCTGGGTAGAGTGTACTCTTCAGCCTTGGTGGCCCTTTTGCTTGCTCATAGTTCTATGAATGACAGAATTCTTTTTTTTTTTTTTTTTAAAGAAGCAGTTTTCCAACTTTTATTTATTTTTTTAAAGATTTATTTATTTATGCATACAAGAGCTGGAGTACAGGCCAGAAAAGCAGGGGGTGAGAGGGTTCACCAGAGACAGAGTGGGGAACAGAACAGGCAGACTAGTGCTCGCTTCGGCAGCACATATACTAAAATTGGAACGATACAGAGAAGATTAGCATGGCCCCTGAGCAAGAATGACATGCAAATTTGTGAAGCATTCCATGTTTTTAAAAGATAAACAATGGCAATACAGACACCAATATATCAATATTAACTCTAAATGTAAACGAACTAAACTCTTCAATAAAAAGACACAGAGTCGCAGGCTGGATTAAGAAACAACACCCAACCTTTTGCTGTCTCCAGGAAACACATTTAACTACAGAACAGGCAGACTGACTGAAATATATTGCTGCGGGGAGCAGTGGGTGAGACAGGAGAGGTCTGCTTCACCATGTGGGTTTCTCTCTGGCCGGCCAGGGATCGAACTCAAAATTGTGCTTCAGAGGCTGCAGATTGCTTCATAATGTGGTCCTTAACCCCTGGCGCAACCAGAGAGGCTCCATGAATGACAGAATTTGTGCAGCTCTTTGTTCTTAGAAATCCATAATTGCTGTAAAGGCAAGTAGGCACAGTGTGTTCATCTATGTGTTTCTGCTGCTAGGAGATTCCCGTCGAAACATCATCATGTGGCTGGACCACCGAGCTGTCAGCCAAGTGCAAAGGATCAATGAAACCAAGCACTGCGTCCTGCAGTACGTCGGAGGGGTGATGTCTGTGGAGATGCAGGCCCCGAAGCTTCTGTGGCTGAAAGAGGTGAGTGAGTGGGTTGAGAGGATAATAATAGTAGAGGATTCCATTTATTGTGGCTCTGTCTATACCAACACCCTGCTAAAGTCTGTTATATTTGATTTTCCCCAGCACTTCTTTGAGGAAGGTTGATTCCATTTTATTGATTAGGTTGCAGTTAAATTATTCCCATTTTTATATGCTTAAATCATGCAAGGCTGTGATAGCTTTTGACATAGGTTATCTCTTTCAATTCTGACAGCAGCCCTATCAAGTAGGGTTTGTGTGTGTGTTTTGTAGACAAGAAAAGTAAAGCTAATAAAGATAAACTCATCCCCAGTGCTACAATAAGGATGTGACAGAGCCAGGATTTGAACCTAAGATTGGTTGACTCAGAAATCGATTCTGTTAATATCCAGTACTCTTTTGAAGTTCAGAGAGATTTATTACCATTGCAATAGAAAGAGACAGAGCTGGGATTGAAGTCCAGATCTCATGATAAGAACCTTCTTTCTCTATACACTTTTATCCCCAGTGATTAATCTCTGGCCTTGTTGGCATTATAGGTTATTCCTTTGTCATCTTACCTGAACTTAAGTTTCCTTGTCCTGAACTGATATGGTGATCTCTGTCCAAGCACTGGCAGGTGGTTCCTATTTCCAGATGTTATGAAGTGTGGAGAATGGTGATGTCAGCTTAATGGTTCCCATTAGAGATGGATGTGTTGGAAAGTTCAAGTCCTCTGGGATCCTCAGGGACTTAAAAACCCCTTGGTGGTCTGGGGAGGAGAGAATCCATCTAATGAGTAAGCCCACTGGCTCTGAGTTTCATATGGGCTGAGTTTTCAATTACTCAAAATGTATACGGGGATGGGTGAGCTTAGGGGGGTGCTGAGAAGTTGTCCCAGAATTGCTACCTTGGGGCAGAAGGGAGATAAGCAAAAAGGGCATCAGTAGTCAGAGCAGGCTTGGCTCCCTCTGTATTGTACTGTTTTCTAAGTTTTAATTTTCAGAGAGGCTTTTATGGTGGCTAAGAGTTTGAAAACAGTCCTAGAAGCGGCAGGGGTTGGGGGGCAGGGGTTAGTTTTCTAATTCTCTATTAACAATGCATTGTGTGACTTGGGGCAAAAAGTTTCTCATTCCAACCCTTGCTTTTCCAGGCCTTTCTCTCCATCTATATAAAGTGAAGGAATTGGACTGAATCAGTTTGAAAACCTGATCCAAATAAATGCTGACATACAAGTTGGAATGTAGAAATGCCCTGCACAGTCCCCATACTCTGTGTGTTACATGGGCTTTCATTGATTTAATCCTCGTAAGCTCTCCTGGTAGAGAGCATGAGAGACAGACTGAGAGAGAGAAGGTAGATGACTTTTCCCAGACAGTTGGGAGAGCCAGAATTAAACCCAGGTCTACTAGACTCCAAATCCCTGCCTATCCCATCACGTCATGCAGAACTATAATCCCTCTGTTAAAGCTTGCCAAATTAAGGGGCCTCCCCTGGTGGCACAGCGGTTGAGCACTGGGCTGCGAGGCTTCCCGCAGCCTCTGCAGTGCTGGTTCGTTCCCCAGCCGCCAGCAAGGGTCCCACAAAAAAAAAAAAAAAAAAGCTCGCCAAAGTAAGGAAGGAGCAGGAACGAAGAGGGTGGTCTTTGAGTGAGCCTATACATGGTGCACAGAACAGATGTTTGCATAGATCACCCTTCGTGGCCATAGGTAAGGAAGAGTGGTACTGAATTAAGTGAGGAGGTGGCAGGTGGTCTTTGGTGCATGATCAGGGCCTTGTTGGGCTCTTGCTTTGTGGCCAGCTCAGTGCTATATATCCCAGAAGATATAAATAGACATCCACTATGTATGTATATAGATCTCAGAGTAGTTAACTATTGTGCTCTGGAGATCAAACTGCACTAATAAAACCCACAGAAAATAATTAAGTTCTAGATTGCATGGTGGTGATTATGATCTTCTAAGGTCATCTATTCATTCATCCATCCATCGATCTAATCAATTTCACATCAGAACTTTCTGAGTAAGGCTCTAAAACATTGCCTCACTATATATTTAGCTATTTGGAGATTGAGCCTAAACTCTTTTTTTAATTTAAACTGCATAGGGATTCTTACTGAGAATCCCTTACTGAGAATCCCTTTCAGATTACTTTGAATTTGATCACAAATTCAAAAATCAAAGATACTTCTAAAATCAGTTTCAGCATCTTCTTCTTAAAGCCTGACCAAGATGGCTTATAGCACTTTTCAAACTTTAATGTGTAAATGAATCATCTGGAGCTTGTTAATCTGCAGACCGGATTTATTGAGCTGTTGGAAAAGTTATGACGTATTCTTTCAAGTGAAAATGCATCATGACTTTTCTGACAACCCGATGGTAACCCTGGAATAGGGACCGAAATACTGCATTTCTAGTATCTCCCAGGTGATGCTGGTGTTGAAGTCTGTTAGCCTACTATAAGACCACTCTCGGTTCTAAATGCTCTGTGCTTGTGTCCTGAAAAATGTCATTTGTGGAGAGTCAGGAAATTCTACCACCTTCTTAATGGGTCTATGAGGGACAGACATCAGGACATTAGGTATGTTCTGTAGAGTGCTTCAAGAGCACAATTACAGTTAGAACTCAAGACTATGCTAAGTTCATTGGGCTGTCTTTTGTTTAATTTTTATTCATTTCTTAATAAACCAAATCTTTACTGAGCTCATGCTGTGAAGCAGCAGTGTGATGAACACTGAGGACGTGGTCGTAAAGAGGGCTCAGCCTTGACCTGTGTCCACTGAGGATAGTGAGGAGGGCTCCAAGGTGTGGGGTGGGTGGAGCAGCTAGACATGGAAACAGAGCCATCAGCAGATGTGCTAAGCGCCTGATACAGGCATTTGCAAAGTGCTTTCAATGAAAATAATTTACTTCTTGGAGGAGTTATTTGTGATATGAATAGATACTGGTCTTGCCTTAAAGAGAATACTGGAAGGTTATTCTAGAGACAGACTATGGTTCATTTATGGCAAGGTAAGTAGGTAGCAGATGAGCCTGGTGCTTCCCTGAGTACAGCAGGAAATGGAGCCCAGCAAGTAGCTCAGGCTCAGTTTGTTAAGGGCTTATTTGGTCATAGAACTTGGTTGATGGTTTTTAAGTGTGTGTGGGGGGGTGTCTTTGGCAGGAACAAAGAGATTGGTTTAGGGGTGAGAAAATGTGTCTCTATGTGAGAGTTAACTCCTTTTCATACTTCCCTGATCATGGCACTTTTGTTGGCTTGACTTTGCTCAGAGAGTACATTCCAGAATACATTATACAGCCCACAAGATGGTCTGTGATGCCATTCTTACCCTCTGCTTGCCCCTTACTGTGTGTCCCTCATCTTGCTCCCTCTCATCAACCTCAGGGATCCATTTGGCGTGCCTCACACACACCCAGTCCTTTGCCACCTCAGAGTGTTAGTGAGGGGTTGGCAAACTACAGCCCAGAGGCCCTGTCCCAGCTTCTGCTTATTGCTGGTTGGCTTAGGAGCTAGGCATTTTCAAATAGTACAAAAAGAAGCAAAAGTAGGAAAATATTTTGGAACTTGTGCAAATTAAATGAAATTAAAATTTTAGGCCACAAAGTTTCATTGGAACACAGATGCACTATTATGTTTATATATTGTCCAAGGCTACTTTTGCATTACAATGACAGCTGGATAGTTGAGACAGACTGTGTGGCCTAAAACTGCCTGCATTTGCTCTCTGGATCATTAAAGACAAAATTTACTGGTCTTGACGATGTTGTGATTCTGTGCCTCTGCCCCGAATTTTCTTCCCACGCTTCACCACTGATTCTAACTCATCATTTACATCTCAGGTTTATTTTCCTTAGAAAAGCCTTTCCTGACCTTCAAATAAATCAGAAGTCTCTTGTCATTGCACTCTTCGTTTGACTTCATTGTATCTTTTCTAAATTGTAATTGTAATGTCAGTTTATGTGATGATTCATATCACCCTGGCCTCTTCATCGATTGTAATCCACAGGAGGATGGCAGTCCCATCCATTTTCTTCATGACGTGTATCCCTGCCTCTAATCAAATGCCTGGCACACAGTAGGTACTGAGTAAATAATTAGGAATCATTTGAGAGAGTAAGGGACTGCTGCAACATTCTACGTGAGAAGCAATGAGACCTGCTTTAGGCTGTGTGGGTAGGAGAAGAGGTGGGTTCTGGAAGTCTGTAGGGGATAAAATCAGCAGGACATTGAGACTGATTGGCTAGGAGTAGTCGGTGTAGGGTAAGGTAAAAGGTATCAGACTTTTCTGCCCTCCCGCCATCAGGATAGATGATGGATCCTTGCGGTCCTGAATGCATGCCTGATGGCGGGCACCTGGAGTAGGGTGTGGGCAAAGGTAGATGGGATTCACCTGGGCTGAGACTGGGCTTTTAAGGGCGGCATCACGGGGATGCCAGCAGAAGCCAAAAGAGAAGCCAAGAAAGAAACAGCAGAAGCCGAGAGAGAAGCAAGAGAAGCAGAAGCTGAGAGAAGGCCAGAGAGCCCAGAGTGAAGACCTGCTGGGGGCTGGGAGGCCTTCCAGCCTCCCAGCCCCCCAACATCCCTGCCCCCCAGCACCCCTGCCTGCCATGTGCCTGGTGAACCCCAATAAAAGCCTGCAAAAAACCACTGAGGACCCTGACTCCTCCTTTACCCGGTCTGCTGGATATTAGAAAACCTGCACTGTGTCATTCCTGACCCTACAATTGGTGTAAGTCGGCAGGATGATCCATGCAGACGGGTATGGAGCCCTCCAAAGACCTGGAGAGACTGAGGAGTAACAGACTGCCTGTGACGACGCTGGAGGCGTCATGGTGGCACAGGAGATGAACAAGTTCCGGAGCTGCAGGATGAGACCTCGCTTGGAGGAGATGCCCAAGAGGACCAGCCAACGACCCCTGAGGCAGCAGAATCATCGGGGAAGAGAGGACCACGATTCGGAGCTCACCAGTGCTAATGCAGGGAGAGGCCAATTGACTTGGACTAATAGACTTGGACTGATG